ACAGCACTGTCTGTGAACTGTGTTGTTATATATAATTCATTTAAGTCACACAAAATTGTGCTTTTTTGGATATACTGGTGTTTTTAGAAGGTGGTTTATGCAATTTTCCTAGTGAGACTTTGTTTATGGGTTCTTGTATTATGATTTCTTTACATTCCTGGTCCTCCATTATGTGTATATATACAGTTGATGCTTAAAACCCTTGGTTATATTTGTAATGGTTTTATATTTTTTAGTTTTTTTCTAATAAAGTAAGATATTTGGGTAGATTTATGGCGTACATTGTTTATTTAGACCCTGGGGTCTAATTATAAGGATTCATTTATTTAAATGTCTCAGTGTCCGTTGGTTCTTAAAAAATTTAACTTTGAAAGAATCCTTTATATATAATTCAAAACGTTTAGATTTACTTGACAAGCCTATTTTGTATTTAGGAACTGAGAGATAGATACAGTGAACCCCCCATTATACGGCATTCAAGCAACTGGAACTTACCCTTTGAGCTTGAAGAAGAGGATCACCTCAAAACGCGTCGCTCCTTCACCACCACCCTGTGCACGTTCTTCCCCAGTTTTTTGTCACTTCCACCCCATCACGTCCTAAAAACACTGCGATCAAGACTAGAGGCAGCCTCTCCACCAGCCCCTCGGCACACACAGCACTCAGTACAAATTGATTTAACATCTATCCCTTCACCCCCGGGATACTCCGAACACGTCTCGGATCGCCACAACCCCATTGGGGCCCCCCCTGTCAGGACCCTCAGCTCCTCAAGTAAGTCCCGAATGTTTTGTTTTTTGATGGGTTCTCGTTCTTTCTACCTGTAACACAGACATTGGTTGCCCCTACACCCTTTATACTTCCAGGATTTGCGCTCTCATTTGCCTAATTTCTATGTCCACAGGTTTCTCCCCCTGTTTGTAGATTCTCCCCCCTGTTTGCAATCTCCACCGACCATTCCCACACATACCCCACACTCTCATGAGAGCGCTGTGTTTTTTTTTTTTTTTCGTTTGTTGGTTATATTTGTAATGGTTTTATATTTTTTAGTTTTTTTCTAATAAAGTAAGATATTTGGGTAGATTTATGGCGTACATTGTTTATTTAGACCCTGGGGTCTAATTATAAGGATTCATTTATTTAAATGTCTCAGTGTCCGTTGGTTCCTAAAAAATGTAACTTTGAAAGAATTCTTTATATATAATTCAAAATCTTTAGATTTACTTGACAAGCCTATTTTGTATTTAGGAACTGAGAGATAGATACAGTGAACTCCCCATTATACGGCATTCAAGCAACTGGAACTCTTAGGCTGGGTTCACACCTAGGCGTATCGAATATGTGCGTTTGTTGCGTGTTTCGCGCCACACGTTTTAACCGCGATTCACGTGTTTTCGAGGGCTACCAGACTGTATCCCAATGGATACGTGCGGCAAATACGCCCCAAATAAGCTCCTGTGCTTCTTTGGGCGTAGGGCGTTTTGTAGCTCGTTCATACGGCCTGTAATACGCCCAGGTGTGAACCATACCCATAGGAAATAATGGGATTTCGGTGTTTGAGCGTTTTGCAGAGCGTAGGAACGCGCTACAAAACGCCCAGGTGTGAACCGGGCCTTAAGCAACCGGCAAAAAAAAATCATATATGTCCTTGCTATCTTTTTCATTTGCTTGATAGACATGTGCACACTAATAACTAATTTAGTTGGCAACTAAAGTGATCTAGTTGCTAGCAAATTTCTGTTTACACTTTGCTGAAGGCCGCGGCTAGATTCCACAGTCGGCAGCTGAATGTAAACAATGGGGAGCAATAGCCAGCCTGCTATTTTAAATTGCAATAGCAGGCTGGCTGTTGCACCCGCCCCCTGAGCAGAGGAGCAGATCTGAGATAATTTTCTCTCTCAGGTCCGCACCTATGCTCAGTGGGTGAGTCTTTATGGGGTAAAATGTCTCTGATCTCAAGTAAATGTTTGATTCAACATTCAGGTGAGACTTTGAAATAAATATTCTAATAAAATACCTTTAAAGAGTAACTCTACTTTCGCTGAGAAAAAAACAGTCCTCTCTGGGCACATCTGTGTACATTTCAAGGATTTTAACAAACTTTGTTGCGCTTTCCTACCTGTTTCTGTTCTGAAGAAACATCAGTTTGTTCTAGCATTTCCTTTCCAGACTGATTCCTGATTGGGAGGGATTGGGTTCCTTATAATCAGCTGGCGGGATTCCTGTGATAGGCAACGGTGCAGTGTCAGCATCCCTTTAGTAGTAGTAGTTAACTCTTAGAGAGTATCTCATCAAAAATAAAATTCCTGTTGGAAGGGATGCCAAACATTTTAATTGTATCTTAGTGCAGACTTCTGAAGAAATCAGTCAGCCAATCACAGAAGCAGGAAGTGACATTTCTAGGGGCATTCCATGCCTTCAGGTCGCCAAATTGCATTGAATTTTTTTGACAGATTTAGAACATTACAGCAGCTACAGTTTTAAATGGAAAGGTACATTTTGTTTATAACATTAAATTACAAAATGGCTTGTGTGACAATTATATATATATGCCATATTTATTTATCTATTTTTGTAAGTATTCACTACAACCTACAGCATCCATCATTGTTTTAGCATATATCCCCATTCTCTTTCTTTTTGTGTGGTAGTTGCTCCTCATGGATGTATGCTCGCTCTTCAACTTCTGGTCTAGGAGAACGGGTAGCACGCTGAGCGTGTACTGTAGCGGTCACATGGCCGTTGACGTGTTTCCCTTATCCCTCTGATAGCACTGCGCATGCATGCTACCATGCCAGGCATGCCCAGACCAGCTTTATGTAGACCATTTTCTGCCTTGGATAAAACAGTGTATGCATGCCATAGTTGCATCACATGACCCTCCACCCCTAGCACTGTGAAAACAAGGTGGATGCCGGACCATCACGGACTAGGGCGCGCACGTAAGGGTGGCTCCATTAGACCCTGCTAGGCAGGGAACCACTCTCAAGATTCTAAGGGAGTACACAGAGACTGCAAACAAAGACTGCTGAGAAATGACAGACTGCACACAGAAAGCAAAGAGCAAACATGGTGAGTCCTTTAAGTATACTGCTATATATCACATTTTATATTGAGGATTTAATATCATTACCATGCAAACATATAAATATATCATGGGGAAAAAGTGCAAGGTATGAATTCCATTGCTTGGAGACTTCAGCAATCACATTAGGCTAAAAAGTTAGCACACCAGAATAAGTATCCTTTTAAAAAAAAAAAA